ATGGTTGCCTCGAAGGAACCATTGTCCCTAAATATAGGTTTCCTTGAAGGAACCATTGTCCTTAAATATCAGATACCTCAATTTAACCGTTTGTCCTGAAATATAGGTTGCCTCGAAGGAACTATTGTCCCTTAATATTTGATACCTCGATAGAACCATTTGTCCCAAAATATTGGTTGCCTATATGAGACCATTTTTCTTGAAATATTTGTTGTCTCGAAATATGAGTTATCATTGATTTCCTTGATGGAACCATTGTCTCGAAAAATTGGTTGCCTCAACTGAACCATCTATCTCGAAATATTGGTTTTCTCGATGGAACCATTGTCCCTAAATATCGGATACCAAAATAGGGGAAATTTTGTTGTATTGCGGGAGTGCGATACTACCTTTCATTTGCACAATAAATGGAAGGAATGAACCCCACAACATTTTTAATACATTGGTGATGTGGCAAACAGTAAATGGAAGAGAGTATGGTTGCCTCGAAATAACTATTGTCCTTGAATAGGTTGCATTGAGGGAACCATTGTCCTTGATTATCAGATACCTCGATAGAACCATTTGTCCTGAAATATAGGTTGCCTCAAAGGAACTATTGTCTTCTAATATTTGATACCTTGATAGAACCATTTGTCCCAAAATATTGGTTGGTTATATGAGACCATTTGTCTTGATATATTGGGTGTCTCGATGGAACCATTGTCCTAAATATCTAGCATCATTGGTTGCCTCGATGGAGTCAGTATCCCGAAAAGTTGGTTACCTCAATTGAACCACCTGTCTCAAAATATTGGTTTACTCGATGGAACCATTGTCCCTTAATATCGAATACATCAATAGAGCTCTTTGTCCCCAAATATCGGTTACCTCAATGGGACCATTGTCCCTAAAATATTGGTTGCCTTGAAGGAACCATGGTCCTTAGATATCAGATACCTCGATAGAATTGTTTGTCCCAAAATATTGGTTACCTTAACAGAACTATTGTCTCTTTATATTTTATACTCGATAGAACCATTTGTCCCAAAATATTGGTTGCCTATATGAGACAATTTGTCTTGAAATATTGGTGTCTCGATGAAACTATTATCCCGAAATATTGGTTATCATCGGTTGTGTCAATGGAAGGAACCAGTGTCCTGAAAAGTTGGTTGCCTCAATTGAACGATCTGTCTCGAAATATTTGTTTCCTTGATGGAATCGAATACATCAATTGAACCATTTGTCCCCAAATATCGGTTACCTCAAATGGAACCATTGTCCCTAAATATCAGATGCCAAAATGTGGGAAAATTTATGGTACTGCTGGAGTACCACATTACCTTTCATTATACAATAATTGAAGGAATGGACCTCGCTACATTTTAATACATTGGTGATGTGGCAAGCAGTAAATAGAAGGGAGTATGGTTGTCTCGAAGGAACCATTGTCCTTAAATATCAATTATGCCGATTGAACCATTTGTTCCAAAATATAGGTTGCCTTAAAAGAACTATTGTCCCTTAATATTTGATACCTTGATAGAACCATTTGTCTCATGTTGCCTATATGGGACCATTTGTCTTGATATATTGGGTGTCTCGATGGAACCATTGTCCCGAAATATTTGGCATCGTTGGTTGCCTCGATGGAATCATTGTCCCTAAATATCGAATAACATCAATAGAACCATTTCTCCCAATTATCGGTTACCTCAATGGGACCATTGTCCCAAAAATATTGGTTGTGTTCGATGTAACCATTGTCCCTACATATCAAATACATCAATAGAAGCATTTGTCCCCAAATATTGGTTACCTCAATGGGACCATTGACCAAGTTATTTGTTGAGCTTATAATTATCTGCAAAATTTCTTTTTAAGAAATACAACTATATGGGTTATTTTTTTTAGTTCAACGATACGAGGGGTGAGGATATATATATATGAGAAATATAACTCATGCTAGTATATGCCTTAACTGGTTTAGCTGCACAAGTTGGCAATTGCTTATATTCACTGTCATTTTATATTTACCTAACTTGATAGACTGAATGGTCTTCATTATTAATGATATCTACATTTTTCTCCTCACAAGTCTTGTGGTAGTTGATGCTTTTCTTCTCATAATCAATAATTTGAAACATTTGATTTGTTGTGTTCGATATGCTAGATGCTTCTATATTTCATGGTTGCTTTAATATTTTGAGAGGCCTGTTTACTTACGATCTATCCATTTACTTGTTTGTGAAATGTCTTCCGATTTAGTTTTTAACTGTTTTCTTATATACTATTGATTTATTTTGATTGTTGCATTCCATTTACTTTTTGTCGTTCTATATACTTCAAATTCAGCGGCATTTAGCCTTGTGTTTTATCAGTATATCTTTTTCTATTTCTTTGGAGTCTTCGTTGATTTTCTAGAAGGATCAAATGGCTTGGTAGTTATTTTTGTTAAGTTTTTCCTATCTTTTTTTTTTTTTCTATTATGCTGTAATATTTTAATGTTTTGTTTCTTTTTCTCTTACTATTGTTTTTCTGTTTTTAAAACGGTACGTTATGGATTCTGAAGTGTTGTTTTCCTATTATGTTCTATTTTTACTTGGTTGATCTGTATTGAATTACAAATTTCCATTTTATTTTCTTCAGTCTTCTTTACATTCTTTTAAATGGTCCTACGTTATGGGTGGTCATATTGCTGCAGTCGAGCCTATTGTTTTTTTATTCCCTAAGTTTGTTCCTATTCTCTCTTGTTTGAAGTTTTTAGGAATTGTTATTTTTTCTTTTACTTTATAATGTTTGCTTTTTCGAACAAATTTTGGGTGTAGAACTTTGTTTTATTGCTTTTAGATTGGATTATCTTTATTACTGTATTCCATATTATTTTTCCTAGATTTTCTTTCTCGTTTGACGTTTTAGGAATGGTTATGATTTTGCAGTTGTAAAATTTTGTTGTGTATTCACCAACTAGTTTTCATCTTATCTTTTTTTATTTTTGCACCTTTTTGTATGATTCTAAAATGGATGTTTAGGGTCAGAAATTGTTCTACGATTTGCTCATCTTTATTGTTGTTTTTTACCCAATCCTTTTAAGAATTCTTGTTTTTACAATTAATTTTGACTTTAATTTTTTTTTCTTTACTCGTCTTTGTATTTTTTAGGATTATAATACTGTTTTTTGCTTGATCAATACGTTTCCGAAATTTGCTTTTGTTCTCTCTTATTTGAAGCTTCAAGGAAGTGTTGTTTTTCTATTAGTATAAGTTTATTACTCCTGTTTATATGTTTTTAAGTTTGTATATAATTGGGTCTAAAGAGTTTTGTTAATGAATTTATTAAAAATAGAAAATAGAAATATTAGGCTTTGGTTATTATTACATTGTTTTTGTATATATTACATTAAAAATACTGTTTTTTTGCAGGAGGGACTTATTTATTTTAATTTTTTGTTTCTTTAATTTAATCATATTTTCCCTGATTTCACCTGATGTGTATATATTTTGCCAATCTTTTGAATTTTCATTTTTCTGGTTCGGTTCTTGTATTAGTTTTGAGTTTTTTGTTTGGACAATTATGTTGAATTCCCACTTTGCATGTTTCCTCTGCTCAATTTCTGTTGAAAAATTAGAATGATCGAAATTTGGATTGGAGGTGGAGGCGACACTAGTGGTGTTCTTTCACACACATCTGATAACTTTTTTATTATAAAAATTGGATGTATTATTCTTTTTTTTTTTTTTAATTCTAATGGGTATGATTTTCAAAATTTAACATTATTTAATATGTATAAACAAAATGTTAGAGAGATAGAGAAAGAGATGAGTTTGACAGAGAAATTTATTAGTCTGAAAAATAGGATGTAGAAGAATAATAGATTGATAAATGTCCGGAAGAAAAAATATATCTTACGTTGGAGTATGCTATATAAGAAATAAAATTTATCTTAAAAATCAAAGGTAATATTTTAGAAATAAAATCCATTCATTTTATAACTTATTTTTTTCCTTAATAGTTCTATTATTTAATAAAATCAAAAACTTTTTTTTTTTTTTTGTCATTGAGATTTTTGCGCTAAGTTGTCACCTGTAGGCGTTCAAAAACACCGCAAACTATTTTAATTGCATGCACAGTGTTTAGAGTTTATTCTTCCTTTGCCGTAGGTATTGAGCGATTAAAAAAAATGAAAATAAATAATAAGATGGTTTTTAAAAAGTAAAAAGTGATTTTTTAATTATGTAAACATGTTTAGTTTATAATGGTTTAAAAAAAATTATCGATCTGATATACAAATTTATTAAATTCTTTACTAACTCTAATTTTAGATGTTAGTAAAAAAATTGCTATGTATTAAGATAGTAATTTAAACTTTAAATGGACGGATTAAATCGTTATGAAGATATTTTTCATGTACCATTATTCTCTCACCAAATCTCTTGGCCATCTTCTGTATTCCTTTCTCCCTTTTAAGATAACAAAAACAGCACAGCAATGGCTTCCTCGATTCCTTCTCCCACCGCTCCAAACTCCATTATCTCTCCCAATTTCATATCTCACTGCTCCAGATCCTCCGCTTTCTCCCCTTCTCACTGCTCCAAATCCTTCCGGCCGACGCCCTCGTGCATCAACGCTCTCTCCAATGCCCGTAATCGGAAGGCGGCTCGTCGGTACGACGGCCAGTGCACGACGAACGCTCTCTCCAAGTCTCAGAATCAGACGAGCAATTCAGTTTTTAGTCCTCCGTCGACTGCGGATTTAGTGGCTCTATGCGAGGAGGGTAAGGTAACGGATGCTCTGGAATATATTTGCCATGGTGCTGATGCCGATTATGGTGTTTTTACTGCTTTGTTGAATTCGTGTGGGAATCTAAAGTTGCTTGATGCTGGAAGAAGAGTGGACGGGCTGTTGAAACGAACCAAGTTTCGTGGTGATGTGGAATTGAACAATAAGTTGATTGAATTGTACTCGAGTTGTGGCTGTATGAAAGATGCACGCAGGGTGTTTGAAAAAATGCCTGACAGGGATATAAGGACGTGGAATTTGATGATCAAGGGGTATGCAGAGAACGGGGAAGGAGATGATGGGGTGGCTTTGTTCGAGCAAATGAAGAAGGTGGGATTGCAGCCAAATTCAGAAACTTTTCTGGTGGTTTTAGCAGCTTGTGCCATGGCCGAAGCTGTGGAGGAAGGTATATTTTACTTTAATTCGATGGAAAATGAATACGGAACCAATCCTGGAATGGAGCATTATCTAGGAGTTGTTGACGTTCTTGGGAAATCTGGCCATTTGATCGAAGCAGTGGAGTTCATTGAGAAAATGCCCATTGACCCCAAAATCATGATCTGGGATGCCCTGAGAAACTATGCTAGAATCCATGGAGATATGGAGCTTGAAGATCGAGCTGAAGAGTTGATGCTCGCTCTTGACCCGTCCATCGTGGCCACAGCTACCACGCCACCAATCCCTCCACCAAAGAAGCAATCAGCTACCAACATGCTGGAAGAGAAGGAGAGGGTGAGGGAGTTCAGATGTGCAATGCCTTACAAGGAAGAGGGTGAAGGGAAGCTAAAGGGATTGAGTGGACAAATGAGAGAAGCAGGGTATGTGCCAGATACAAGATATGTGCTACATGACATTGATGAAGAGGCTAAACAGCAGGCTTTGCAGTACCATAGCGAGCGGTTGGCCATTGCTTATGGATTGATCAGTACGCCAGCGAGAACGACGCTGAGGATCATCAAGAATCTTCGGATCTGCGGTGACTGCCATAACGCAATCAAGATTATGTCAAAGATTGTTGGGAGAGAGTTGATTGTTAGAGATAATAAGCGGTTTCATCACTTTAAAGATGGCAAATGCTCTTGTGGGGATTACTGGTAAATATATTGACTGTATCATATCGTAAGATATTGGTATTTGGGCTTCTTTGGTGATTTACTTGATTTGCTTTTTCCTTTTCTAGTCTATCCTTGGTCTTACTTTTATCATTTATGACAAACTTGGCAAACTCGGCCACCAAATTGACTGAAGTTGACAAAATGATTTCAAATCGAAGTGTCTATCTTTTAGTTTTATACTTGATATAACTGAGGAAACTTGACTCGGGTGACTTTTTTTTATGTGATTTGTTTTTCGTTTCCTAAACCCTTGTGTGAACCCATTTAATTACTATGGCAGAGATAAATCAATTGAATCTTGATGTTTAAACCTCCAATAGAAGACTTATTTAGATCCTTAATAAAGGATAATTATCTAGCAAAATTTCTCATTAAAAAGAGGGGGGGAGAGAGGAATATTGAAGGGTGAAAAAGAATGTGGTTTGTACTGTGCTCAAATTGATTTAACATATGGTTTGATTACTTTTCACTAAAATAATGGACACGTTAACCTATGGATCCAAATCCGAACTATAAGGGTAAGAATTATATCTCATATAACAAGAAAATTTTTAGTCAAAACTATGAGACCAACAATCATGGTTCATACACCTTACATATAACTATCCTAAATGTTGATAATACAATCGCTCGTCCTATAATTATTAAACACGAATCTTCTTACTACTGATCAAGGTGTTTCTTTTAGTACAATAAGTGAGACGGAAGATTCGAACTCATAATCTTTTGATCAGAAACATATGTCAATTTCTATTGAGTTAAGATGAGCAATATGTCTTGACCAAGCTAAGCTTACGTTAGCAATTGTGATTTTGTCAGTGAATTGCATTTAGCCAAAATTTAGATAATGAAAAGTATACTAAAAGACATAAAATAAATATATATTTATAAAAATATCATTACTTTTTGTTTTTTTAACGTCACATTTATGTTGGTCTCACTTGTATAAATTTCATTTGTAATATTTTAAACCTGATACTCTATATATAAAAATAATAAATCCATGTTTTTTTGTGTGCTATTTTTGTAATGTTCCCCTTATAATTGGTTCACATTCAACTTCAACAGACAATTTTTGTTTTTTGTCGGTCACATTTACGAGAATAGCCCTATCAGTTTTAAAACGGGGTAAATTGGTATGGGCCGAGGGCAAACAGAGCCGGGTGCATTGAAATTCCCTCCCTCTTTCTTTCGCAGTCTCGCAGCTCGCCTTTCTCAAACTACCAGCGAGAGGAAGCACACACTTCTATTACATTTCTCAAATTCCTCCGTCATCGTCTCTTGAAGGTGAACGCCCTTCACATTCTCTACTCTCTTTTGGATTTGTAGCTTTCCCCCCGCGTTTGATTCTGGTCTTTCCTTCTGCCCTTTTCCTGTATCCTCTGCCCTTTTTTTCTCGTTTCTCGACGATCTCCTTATCTACTCTGTGATATTTCGCCTTATTTGCGGAATAGTTTGATGAAATTTTCGTTTTCGGTTGATATGTGTGTGTTTTGAATCGTGATTTCTAATATCGGATGCTGGAAATTGATTAGGGTTTTGGTATTTTATCAGACTAGTCTGGAGAAATGAATTATTGAGGCACTTTTTGTTTTGAAAATCGACCAGACGAAATTTTTACATTGCTTGGTTTTGTGGAGGAAATGATGTGATTTGGGGCGGAATGGTTTATCCGGATCTTATCTGTGGACTGTGCGTATCAGTAGCAGAATGTCTGTTCCTCCATTTTGCCTGCTCTTCAGCAGCTAGATTAGACGCTGATTTGTGTTTAATTCAGAAGATTTTTTTGACACGTAGCAGTGGGCTTTTAGATCTCTTGAAGAAATTATTTTGGAAGTGTTATGAATGTGTGATTACTAAGCTTTCCTCAGTCTTTAAGATTGATAAATATGTTATTGTTTCCTGCGTTGATTGAAAAGTATGTCTTCTCTAAATTTGGTGTCTTTGCTGCAGTTTTTTAAGCTTTATTTTGGATTTGATGGCTTCCAAGTTGCATCAGTTGCAATCCAAGGCCACTCAAGCTTCTCAATTTGCCTTGAAGCACGGGTGTTCCTATTATAAGCAATTATTGGAGCAGAACAAGCAATACATCCAAGAACCTGCTACTGTGGAAAAATGCAACTTGCTTTCAAAGCAATTGTTGTATACTCGGCTTGCTAGGTTATTACCTTCAATACTCATGTTATATTTAGATTTTTCCTTTGGTTAATGTGGTTGTGGAAGAATTTATACTGTGTTCATGTTATGTGTTCTTATCATGATTCAAATTCAACGTTCTTTTAGGATATATATAATGTCCATTAGCTTAGTTTGAGTATCTTGCACTTGTATCCAACCAATATAACTGTGTGGGTTGTGTCTTCATTTGCCTGTTCATCAATTTTTGGATTCTTTTAAAACTTTTTTTTAAATTGTTTCTAATTCTACCTCTTGTTGAACGAGTGATTCCAAGTAATGTCGTTCAACTATTTCCATTTGTAGAATGATTATTCCATAGACACGAAAATGGATCCCTCCTTAATCAATTAAGATGCCAAAAAAAGGTGCCAATGGATCTTTCCTACCCAATTCGTGAGTGTCAGGGTCAACTTGTGTTACCTCAACTAAATTTTCCCCATCTGTTGGATAATGTATTATAATGTTATAGCGGTTATGTATGTGATATTTTGTGCCTCTATTTTTCTGTTTAGCCTTTAGAGCCATTGTATTTTTACACTAAAATCCCTTTGATATTCAAAATCCCTCGTGTATTTTGCTACATAATCTTTTACCTTTTAGCCTTTTAATACAAATAAATATGATAGCAGAACCCTTACCGGTTTTATTGCTGCACTGGTTTTATTTTGTATTGAGTTTTTTTGATTATCAGCAATACTTAATCATTATCTGCCCTAACCATTAGACCGTTGTATTACCACTGACCTTTTCAACTACGCTGATTATGCAGCATCCCAGGTCGTTGCGAATCATTCTGGAAAGAACTTGATTACGTCAAAAATTTATGGAAGAACAGGCAGGAGCTGAAAGTTGAAGATGCTGGCATTGCCGCCTTATTTGGGCTAGAGTGCTTTGCATGGTTCTGCGCCGGTGAGATCGTAGGAAGGGGCTTTACATTCACAGGTTATTATGTCTGAGAATGGCCTTGGTAATTTGTCAAAGGGATATTCACGATGTCGACTTCCCCTTTCTTTTCGCGGGTACTCCGCATACAATTTTTTTTCCATTATGAAGTTGAGAATTCTGTGAGCAACTCTGATAGATTAATAATAATCCATGAATTTCGAGGGACCATAATGCATCTTAGCATTGTTTTAATTGACACACATTCTTGATAAATCCAGCTATTAATTCTGATCTGGAAATCTAATTTGTCCATTCAAGATATAGCTTTTGCTGCAACTTTCCAGCTTTTTTCTTGCAACATTTTACCAGATGATCTGCAGGTTGTACGTAGAACAAGAGGTATATATGCTATCTCAGGTATCTTCTTTCTTTCTTTCTTTTTTCACCCACTAGCTACTATTTTGGTTCCCAAATTTTATTGATATTTTATTATAATTTTTATAACTTTTTGTTACCATTAACTTTTTATAAAATATTTCACATGAACCGTATAAAAGTATTTATTTTGTTGATTTACTTGAACAAGTATCTATATTCTATATGATTAAGTATTTGTATTTGTAGTAGGTTGGGTTTAGTTTGGAGTGGATTCAGACTGTTGTTAATAATTCATGATAATTACTAAGATGATTCTTTTATACAAAAAGATAAGACTAATAAATTATTTACAAGTTTGGACCAAATTTATTGTTCAAATCAAAGAGTTAATGAGTTGAAATGTCGAAGCAATTGTAATGGCTGAAGAATTGGAATTCACCCTATAATTCGTGTATCAATTATCTAATTTAATTTTATCGCGGTATTTTTTTCCCCTCTCCTCTCGAAAATTTTCAAAAGTAAAATATTTTGATTTTGTAAAACAATTAGGCAGGAGCCCGTGAATCGTTCCAAGTCAGAGCTCATCCTTCGTTGTCAGCGTAACGGATGAAGTTGGGTTCCACTCTAGGGTGCCACGTGGACTGGTTGGAGAATATTGTAGAGAGAGATTTTATTTTATTTTCTTAAAAACATGTTATATTTGATATTTTCTAACAATGAAATTTGATACCATTTCTATTATATTGGAGAGCGTTTCAACTAGTTTTCTACCTCTCGATTAATTTCATAGAATTTTGTATGATATTAATAAGTAAGTGTTCATTTGATTATTGATATTGCTTTTTAATATGCTAATGATTTAATTGAGAATATTAACAAAATATTTACCATTAAAGTATTTTATATTATAAATTTATTTTTAATGAGAACTTGTGTATAATTTCTCAAAAATGATTTTTTAAAGTATCTAGGGAGTTTAAAATGCTATGATATAAATATTATTAATTATCTCTATTAATATACAATATTTACAGCATCTTAATGTTAAAGTCACCTGTAATTTTTATTTTGATTGAACATTCAAATCTCTACACCTTCATTTCTGTACAAAAATAATATTTTTTAATTTTTTTTATGCATCAAGCATATGTTAGCTAATATTAGACAAATTTAGATAAAACAAAAAGTATAAAGAATGTCCCGTCATAATATCAATTCAAGAAAGCGAGCATAGCCTAAGTGGTACTAAAAAAACTTTGAATAAACATATTTTTCTCAAAAAGAAAAACAAAAATTGTCACTTCCCTCGTAAGCATTGAAATGGTGATTATATATATAAGAAGACAACGATTTTTAGACGCAGACCAATCGAAGAAATATTTTATCTTCATATTGCAGAGTCAACCAGACGGGAGCCGGACGAGACGACGGAGACACGCCATAGAATAACTTCGCAGCGAAATCTGAAAAAGCCGACCGGAGATGGTCCGTCACCCCAGCATTCCCATTCGCAAGCATTTCTCATCGCCGTTTCTCCTCGTCCTCCTTTTTCTCAGCGTCGTCTCCGAGTGTTCCTCCAATGAATCTCGGGTAATGCCCGTCTTATTCTGCAAATCATTCGAAATCTGGACTTTACGTGATTTTTCAGAAGTTATGTGGGAGAATTAGAGATCTTATTTTCGTTCATTTGGATCTCGAGTTTCTTTCTGTTCCTTTATTGCTCGTATGATTCCGTACCACAACCTTCGCGTGATGTGAAAGAATCTGAGTTTGTTTGGCTTCTGTTCGACGATTTGGTTGTTAACGTCTGATTTTTGTTGGCTGATAGGTTGAATGCAGCAGGACTTGTGTCGCAATTAACTGCAATAGTGAGAATATTCTACTTTTTTTCTTTGAAATTCGTCTTCTATTGTTATTATTATTACTTTTAGTTTATACTCGCACATTAATTTCGTTCTTTCATTTTAAAAAATTTAGCTGTTGGGATTCGGTACGGAAAGTTCTGCGGAGTAGGATGGACGGGTTGTGCTGGTGAAAAGCCTTGCGATGATCTTGATGCCTGTTGCAAAGTTCATGACGAATGTGTTGAAAGAAAAGGTCATTGCCTATCTATAGCTATATTATCTTATTGTGCCCTTTCTCTGATTCGCATTTATTCTCTGCGTAGAGAATTTGCTCGTCATGTTACCCATCGATCTATAATCCGGTTTAGTTTTTAGTTACTGTGAGGCGAATGCCGCGAATCGGGTGAAATCTGGGCATCTTCTTGTTGAATGAGCATTTTTTTTTTGGCATTATTTGTATGTTTTCTACTGCACACCTTGTAAAAGACCTTCAAACATGTAACCACAATTTCTATCTGCCGAGCATGGGGGGGGAGCAGGATCTAGTTGTCAACAAACCAAAAAAATTGCGTTTAGTAATTAGTATCAAACAGGTTCTTATCTAAAAACAAATAATCAGTATCAAACAGGTATGGGAGGTAGAATAGAAGAAGCGAAAATGGCTTAACAAGTTCTTTATGGATAGAGGTGTCAACGGTGAGTGGGGGGCCATGGATGGCTTCCCCTTTTTCTCTATGCCCCTTAAATCATTTATGGTCTCCAATAAAATTCCCGTTAAAAAATCAAGGACGCTCATGCCAACCAAAGGAGGTTTTGAACACCTGATCCTCAGCTTCAAATTTAGTTTAAAGTGACCAACGATCCTCAGCTTCTCAACGAAACTCTGAAGTAGCAAAATTCTGGGAGTTAGGTGCGTTAGCCTTCTAAAATCTGCCTCTGTTTTTTAGCACGAGATGGCCGTATGTCTTCAAACTCCAAGCCTCCAATTTCTGCCTTACCCACATCTATCAGTGAATTCTATATGAACCAAACCAAAGACAATATCTGCTTCCATACAAGAAAACTGATGTCAAATAGCTCAGTCCCTTCTTGTGATTTGCTGGGTTGATCAGACTAATAATGGTAGAGAGGATAATGAGTTGGTCTTCTAAACCTGAGTCCTCCCAGTTTATTTCTTTATCGAAGATAGACTGATATCGTGTGCTAAACTCGCAAAAAGGAGAAAACAGTATCCCACTAGCTTGTGTTCACTATACTGCACAAATGATGCCACTTGTGGACACTTATCCTTGTATAAATAACCCACTAGAATTAAATGAATAAATAAAATTCATTATTAGCTATTCTTAGCTGCAAAATATTCTTTCAAGTTCCCAAAGTTCTTCTATTGTTATAAATGCCAGCCTCTGGATACCTCAGGTTTGATGTGCTTCCTTGTACTGCCAGGATGTAGAGGCTGATTTTCATCTTCAAAATGCCTATACGGGGTATACTAGAATGAATTAATGAAATAGTCTAAAAATTTTTTTGCAACTTTGGAGTAGAATCCTTCGTGCAATTTCGTAGTAGTCTACAAACTGTCGCTCACTAGTCCGTCCAAATGCATGTTGCAGCAAGGACTTTACTGTTTAGCCATCGTAATGGCGATCATTGGGTGGATTATATCAGTAAGTGGTTATGAATAATTCAGTTATTGCCATCATGCACATAGCATGTTTCTGTTTGTTACTGGATTGCTGAAGCTACTGGCCTACAGGCTACAGGCAATTATTGAACTGCAAATTAGATATAAAATTGGATGATTTTAAGGCATGGCCAATTGGCACCAGTGTTTGCATCTTAGACATCTGCGATTTATCTGAGAAATTGCATATTTGAAACTTGTGGCATTACATCTATTTGTTCAGGTTTGCAGTAGTTGGTCTATCGTGTTTTGTTTAGTTTCATTAGACTTTGGGAGGATTAATAACAGTTGGAACTTGAAAGTCATCTGTTTAGTATGTTGTGTTTTAAGACCAATAACCTTCTATCATGTGGGTTTTTCAGGTTTAACAAATATTAAATGTCATGAGAAGTTCAAGAGTTGTATTAAGAAAGTGCAGAAATCTGGGAAGGCTGGTTTCTCAGAGGAGTGCCCTTACTCCACAGCTGTTCCCATCATGGTTCAAGGCATGGATTTGGCCATCGTGTTCAGCCAGCTCGGTAACTCAAAGCTTGAGCTCTGAATCCAATCCAAACAAGATGGTAAAACGTCACAACACCACTGATTCTGATTTATTAATTGAAATAAGATTTGATCCTCATTTTTGCCCTCTTTAGCTACAATTTGGACCATATACATTTTAAGATATTCAGTAGCTTTTAGACTAGGGAAAGTAAGATGCCAATATACCAAATTATTTCATGTTTGAGGCTTCTTAGCTCTTAGATTTTGGTTCTCCACCTTCTTTTGTATATGAAACAGTTGTGTATCTTTTAAAGACTCGAAAATTATCTTTTGATGTCAGACTTCCATTTGATTCTTATTCTTGTTTCCATCTCTTTATTATTTCAAATTTCAACGGATTTTTTAAGGGTATTGTTAAAAAATGAAAATAAATTACAAATCTGGATGTCAAAGTATGAATTCCGGTAGGAATGACAAAAACCTCGTGGGACTCGATCCCTGTGAGTACCTGCCCTGATACGAAGTCAAACTGGGGTCTCCATTTAATATTTTGATAATAATAATATTATTAATATATTAAATTTAATTCATATTTTATCAAATTTTAAAAACCTCAAATTCCTTTCCGTTTCTCTTCCCACCCTAGTTTTAATTTTTATAACCATTAAAGATTTGTTGGATGGAAAAACCAACCAACATATGCATTTAATTATACATATTTATCTTATATTCTATAAAAAGGGTTATTTTTTTTAATTAAATCATTTTAAAACAAAAAAACTAGATATAATCTCAACAAATCAAAATAAAAATCCAATTATGCTGGACGGGGATGGAGATTGCCCCAAGCTCGCCTCGGTGTCTTAGATTATATGTTATATTAATTTGGAATGATATGATTGGATATAGACGACACTCATGGAGATAAGAATCTCACTACATTTTCTTTTTTTCATTTTTATCTATGTTAATATCATATTAAGCTATGTGGTGTAGCATAATTTATTTGGATATTGCATGTCTGTAATATTGTTATTTTATTATAAAGTATAATATAAATGGAGTACCTTCCAACATTATTATAGTTTTTAACAAGTCTATTGGAGGTGCAATAGTGACAATATCGCTTGGAGATCAATATAGATGGTAGATATATACTCAAATTCTTACACTAAGATGTATCATGTACGGTACATTGCATGTTCTAGTTTTAATAAGACTAGTAGGATTACGTATTCATATACAATCGTACTAAATAAAAAGTATTTATATACTGTTAAAAAGATATAAGGAACTTTCTTTCAAAACAAACAAAAAAAAAAACAAAAAAAGTAATGAATCTTTATCCAAATCTCTTATCTCAAATTTAGACGTCCTTTTTAAAACGGAGTAAATCGTAAATGTCAAAATTGATAGGATAGAATTTTTGTTTCAAAATATTAAACATATTTGATAATTAATGCACTCCCACAAAATTAAATAAAACCAATTTGCAATCAGAGTATTCATAAATGGTATACATGTTATTTTTTACTACAACAAAGATATAAATGAAAGATTGAACCTTCGATTTTTAGGAAATAAACTAGATGTTTTGCCCCTTGAGTTAAGCTCGCATTGACTATATGTCACACTTCTTATCATTCAAAATATCGACTCGTTAAATTGAGCATAGTTCAAATGGTTAAGGCATCTGACCAAATAGTCATGAGTTCAAATCCCCATCCCCACATGTTGTACTAAAAAAATTTCTAAAACTCGATAATAAACCCAGTATTTAAATGAATAAATAAAATACTAATAAAATCCTTTATAAATTTTAAGATTAACTTTGTTATCAAGTATTAATTTTTATAACCGTTTTTTTTCTCCTAAAAACAAGCATTAATTTATATACACAAAGGAACTAAGTGCGTGGAATGATAAAATAGGATTGAAACCAGAAAGGGGCGTTCCGAGAATCGAACTCGGGACCTCTCGCACCCAAAGCGAGAATCATACCACTAGACCAAACGCCCGAATTTGAAAGGAAGTCAAAACTAAAATATTTAACCAATATTTTAATTATAGCAATTCTAGGGTTTTTGGATAAACTTCCACTATAAAAGATCAGTTGGAGCTCCCGATAGCGGCAGACGAAACCGGCGTACCCTTCTCTGTTACTGAGTCGCTCTTCGACTAGTTACAGCACAGGTGCGATCTTCGATCCTTGAGATCTCATTTACACCTTCCGTTTCATCCTCTTCAATCAGATTTCTCCCCCTTTTCGGATTTCAATTTTCTATATTCATATCAACTGGCATCGTCCGATCCTTTCTTTTATTGCTGATATCCGTTATTAATCTTCGAAGTATATTTTTCTTTGTTGCTTCTTATTCATCCGATTTGTTGTTCTCATAGTGTTCTTCGAACCCTTTTGTAGATGGCGAATGTTCCGGGGCAGTTGGTATGGGAAATCGTAAAGAAGAACAACTCCTTCCTTGTTAAGGAGTTTGGCAGAGGCAATGCTGGTGTGCAATTCAGCAAAGAGCCCAACAATCTCTACAACCTCAACTCTTACAAGCATTCCGGTATGATTATACATTATAATCTACTGCTCTCCTTTTTACTTGTTTAGTATAATCGTGTAAGCTTGAGGAAAATATGAGGTAGTTTCATTTTCCAACATTATCATGATATATCTCCAATTGCTTACCACTTCGACCAGTTTAACCCCGTAAACGATTTGTGTTTTGTGTTTTGTACTTTTTTCTTACCGGAATATTTATTCGATCTTGTTTTAGTTCTTTCAGTGTGTCGGGTTTATTGATTATTTGCATATGGAATTTTCTTTGTGGGTTCTTTTAGGCTTGGCAAACCGTAAGACAGTAACCATCCAGCCCGGAGGCAAGGATTTGTCAGTGCTGCTCGCGACAACAAAGGCAAAGAAACAGAACAAACCCGCCAGTTTGCTCCACAGATCGGTCATGAGAAAGGAATTTCCACGTATGGCAAAGGCTGTCATTAATCAGGTACCTAGCAACTTCAGTTTTTTAGTTCATTCTCGTTCAGTTGGAATTGATTCTTGGCAAATAAGTTCAGAACCGGCCACTTGTTAATTTTCCCTGTATTTATCTCTTATTGCCCGTGCTTAGTTAGCATCATCAAGGAATTATTCTGTTAGATATTCTGCATTGTGTTAGTTTTGAATATTTGGTTACTAATCGCCATGGACATATTTTCCGTCTCCTTGTGTGTGTCCAAAGGCTTTTCTGCTTCAATAGTTTCTTTAGAGATTGGAATTTAACTGAATGTGCAATGTTGCAGTGATGAGAAGCTAACATGTAAGAAGGGCTGCTTTTGTAGCAGCATTTTCAATGAGATCTATTTGTTACGCTTGGCTTCTGAGCACACAATTTTTCATGGTCTATATTTCATTAACTTTTCAATAATTGCCCGTGCTTAGTTATTGTCATCGAGGAATTATTCTGTTAGGTATTCTGCATTGTGTTTGTTTTGAATATTTGGTTACAATTCTCTTCTCATCGCCATGTTTGTGGGCTTTTATATCTGTCTCCTTGGGTGTCCAAAGGCTTTTCGGCTTCAATAGTTTTCTTAGAGATTGGAATTGAACTGAATGTGCAATGTTGCAGTGATGAGAAGCTAACATGTAAGAAGGGCCGCTTTTGTAGCAGCATCTTCAATGAGATCTATTTGTTACGCTTGGCTTCTGAGCACACAATTTTCCTCGGTCTATATTTCATTAATTTTTTCAATAATTTACTGTGCTTAGTTAGTGTCAACAATGAATTATTCTGTTAGAAAATATGCATTGTGTCCGCTTTGAAACTTTGGTTACAACTCTCTTCTCATTGCCATGTTTGTGGGCATATTTTCTGTCTCGTTGTGTGTCCCAATGCTTTTCTGTTTTAATAGTTTTCCTTGAGATTGGAATTGAGTGGAATGTGAAATGTTGCAGTGATGAGAAGCTAACACGTAAGAAGTACTGCTTTTGTAGCAGCATCTTCGATGAAATATATTTGTTACGCTTGGCTTCTGAGCACACAATTTTCCATGGCCTATGCTATTAGGCTGTTGAAGATGTTGTGGTTGATACCGAGAATATTTTGTCTATTTTTTAAACTGATTGCCTCATTCCTTTTGTTTTCATTTTCTATATTGGGAACAGAATATTGCATAGACAGTTGAGTATAATTATTTTTAGTGTTAAATTTATTGTGCTTATCAATGTTTGAACAATTGAAATGAATTTCATTGTTCTTTTTTTATCTAACTTAATGATGGTGCATATGGGTTTTGCTTCCAAGTGCCCCTTCTGGATGTGCCTGAGAGTTATGTCATTGCTTTGCTTCTTATTATCATGTCATATTTATTGCTTCTAGGTGCTTTTTACAGTAATGGGTTATACAATAGCCTGATTGGTCATACCCCTAATCCGTAGCTTAGTGCTGTCTTTCCATTACATTCTTGTGTAGTATAATATCAAGCTTTTGTTAATATATGCTCAAAAGTTCTACGGTAGGGGAGCTTGCTTAAATATTAATGTGATGTGATGATGAACTGCTAATATGTAGTTTGCTGCTCTGTTTGAAACTGATTATATATTGAGATCGAATTGATTCAGTTAGGAGTGTACTTATTGAATTATGCAGGTGGCTGACAATTACTACCGCCCGGACTTGAAGAAGGCTGCCCTCGCAAAGCTTAGCGTAGTACACAGGAGTCTCAAGGTTGCCAAGTCAGGTGTGAAGAAGAGGAACAGGCAGGCACTCAAGACCCGCGGTAGGAAGTGAGCTTACCCTTTCTTAAAGAGGACCTTCTCCGGGCTTTTCTTTAATCTCTCTGGTTTGCACCCACAATAGGTTCACTTGAAATTTATGATTATGATGACCCCATTTCAATTTTGGATTACATTTCAGTACATCCCCTTTGGAATTTTGTTATTTTTAATGTAGTTTTTAAAGGGTTAAAATATCCAATATTTGATTGATACCGAGATGAATTTTGTTACATGGTTTATGCGGGGGAGATTATTTACCCGAAGTTTATGATATTGAGTTTATCTTGGTTGTTGAAAAACAAACATTTTCTGAAGAGGTTAACTTGTATCCAATGTAGTAATGCATGGGTACTATACTCTGCTTATTAGCATGTTAATAAATATATCTATAGTTTATGCACTGATTTGAGTATAGGTTACAAGTTCAAATCAAGAAAGATCTTAAATGGTGTTTGGAAAAATGGTTGAATTTCCCATAATTTTAAGGTAAATTACTTGTTTTATCATATTTTAATTTTTAATTAATAAATTAATATTAAAGTTATATATTAGTGAATTTTCTATTGTTTTGTTCAAACACACAAATAAATAAATTTATTTACATTTATTTTTTATCATTCCTACACTAAATAGGGTAAATAATTTAGAATTGAATTTCAAATCATATGATTTAATATTATTTATTAAATTACCAAGACGAGCATATTTTAATGATAATTGACATATATCTTCAATCAAGAGGTTGTTAGATAATTGATATATATTTTCAATTTTGAGATAATTGATATATATCTTCAATCAAGAGGTAATGAGTTCGATCCCTGTCTCATGTGTTGTCTAAAGCATATGAAATGATAATACTTATGAGTTTGATCTACTGTTTCTATGTGTTGTCTAAAGCATAAGAAGTGATAATAATTATGAGTTAAAAGAAGGTTTAAATCATTGTGGGTACCTAATATTGCTCTAGATTAGTCAACCTGTGGGCTTTTATCTTTAAAAAGAAAACCCTCTTCTTTCAAAACTATGTTACCTTATATTGACATGCTATTTTATCAAATGGACAAGATAACGGCTATATTAGCAATTTTATTAAAAAGAAGAAAACAGAAAACGACTACGTTATCAGATGGACAACATAATTCTACCGTTTAATTCTAGGTTCAAATCCTTATTTTGGATGCAATATTTTTCTTAAAAAAATACAGTTAACCTTTAATATTTCAATAAGTTCCGATTCAAATCTCTATTCGTTATTCAATAGATATAGATAATTGACAAAAGGTGAAAAATGGTGATCCATGACCCGTATGTGATCCATGACCCGATGGGCCGGCCCAAATATTGTATAACCGGGGTTTGACAGGAGCGTGAAATGCACGCTACGAAGGTGTCACGATGCCACATGGTTTGTATTATATATAAATATATTAGAGCTCACTCCTTTCGGTTTGTCCGGACGAATTTCCCGCGCCTCGTCTCCACTTTTCCCGCTCAGTAAACCCTAATCCAAGATGGGTCAGAAGCAACAAGCCTCTGCTGATCCAGGTGCCGAGATTAAGAAGAAGCGTCGCGTCGGATTCTCCAAGATCGGTAACTTCTCTTCTCATTTCTTCTGCTACTTTTTCGAGTCAATTTAGCTTCTTCATTTCGTTAATTTTGAGCTTCTCCGTCCCTTGGTAACTCACTGGAAATGTTCCGTTTTCTGTTTGTATCTCTGGGTGTGGCGCAGATACTGGTGTTGACGCGAAAGAATGCATCAAAATCTATCTTGGTATGCCTATTTTGCTTTCCGCGCGCTTCGATTTGAAAATTAATTTTGTTTTGAATTTGATTCTGCTTCGGTTGGAATTGGAATAGCTTTTCCGGTTCCGTTGACACTTTTTAATCGCGTCCATTAGGTTATTCCAACGAAGTTCATTATATAGCAACTCCGTGAATGTTTTACATTTCATGTGGTTTGGTTGAATTGAGGTTTCATACGCGTGTACAGGACTGGTCTTTAATTTGAAAATAATCATCTCACTTTCTGGTCAATGACGAAAATATATATGCATTTCCGTAGTTCCAGGCCCTTAGCAAGATAAATTAGTTTTCTTACGAAGCGTTGAATATTGCCTAGTCCTTTGTGTTATAGGTTGGGGTTGGTTTGGCTGGAAATCTGGTGGTTGGGTTCAAGAAAACGATTACTTAAATCAACTAGTTTGGGTAGTTTATTCTTTATTTTAACGGTTGTATGCTGTTGCAGTTTGTACAAAAGAGGAAGTGGGAAGTACAGATAGTCTTTCTATTGACCCAGTTGACTTGAACAGTTTCTTTGATGAAGATGGAAAGATATATGGTTACCAAGGTTTGAAGGTTAGAACTTGGATCTGTAGTATACATCGAACCTTTTAGTTTTTGGTGTAAGTCGAATGATATATTGATCCAAAATGGATCAATGTTGGTTTTAGTTGTATTCATATATACCATGTTTATTGCAGATTACAGTGTGGTTCAGTATTGTCTCATTTCAGTCCTATGCCGATATTGTTTTCCAGAGTACAGCAGACGTAAGTTCTAAAATGGTTCATATCAGTTTGCATGACTATCTTTGATATGAGAAATCTCTCTCTCCCTCTCTCTTCCCCCTCTTCAATTAAATATTTCTTCCCGTTCTTCTATTTTTGTATGTTTTCCACTAAATTTTTGTGTTGTTTGTTAACAGGGTGGTAAGGGAATTACAGATCTGAAGTCTGTTCTTCAGGTGGACATTTAGAAGTTCGGAATACATTATCCAGTTACTCTTGATACTTGGAGATTATTCTTATAACTAGACTGCTTGTTTAACAGAATATATTTGCCGAGACTCTTGTGGACAACAAAGATGACTTCCTTCAAACTTTTTCAAAGGATGTCAATTATATTGGGTAATAATTAATGCCTCTTTCAACTTTATCTTAGATGTTCCTATTTTTAGGAAAGCTTAATTTTGTACTCACCTGTCGTTTTACTGTCATTAGTTCATGTCTTATCAGATGATGTATTGTTCCCATTTTAAATAAAACTGCAGATCTCTTTCCGCAGATGGAGAAGTATTGCATCCTAAAGCTTCCAATGGGCAGTTTAACGATTCTAATCATCATTTACATTCTGCCAATTCTAATTTGGAGGTGCTTTCCGTTCACTAGTTTGTTGTTACTGTAATGGTTTAAACTTTTTTCTTTGTTATTATAGAAGGTTACCTGGGTATTTTTCTGCTTCCAGTGGTTCATGCCTTTTTCGTTCTCCAAGCCTCCTTATTTCTCTCTGTAACTTCATAAGCCTTTTTTCTATCTAGGTTTTTGGCAGTATGCTGATCTGACTCTTGATTTGAGATTAAAACTATCAATGCTCTTGTGCAGTTATGCCATCTTATATCGTTGTATTAATCAGTTAGTGACATATCTCATGCATCCTACTGCTGGTTTTATATTATTCCAGGTGTTATTTTATGCCTAGAGGTGAAATACCAAGTTTCTTGATTCTTTCTTCTTCTTGTTCCTTTTCATCATGCTGCCAGTACCGTTCATCTTTCCCCCATATTCCATGCATATGTTTCTTTTTGGGTAAGGGAACATGATACAAATCTGATGTCCTGTTTCACTTTTACCATGCTAGTTAGTATTTTCTGACCTCCTGGCTATGGAATATGGTTCTTAATAGCGTATATTTATAGCCATCTCAGTTCCTCGGTTCCTTCACTTGTAGAAATAGATAGTTCATTGATTAAGTTGATCAATCAAATGGAAACAAGTATTCGCTGTTTTGTCGGGTAATATAATTATAACATCATTGATATGGTCAGTCTTATTACCTTCTGATCAGGTCATTCGATTGCCTATGGACAATATGGCTGGAAGAAACCTCTATAGTCGCTTGGTACCTCTTGCTCTTCTTCTTATTGATGGTATTTCTTCATTTATTTGATGTCTCATTCAATTTGTCATTAGAAATTCATTTTATTGTTTCAGCGACTGATTAAATAGAGCCTAAAATATGCTTTTTTTGAACTAGGCAGCAGCCCTATCGATGTTTCTGATTCAAGATGGGAGTTGTATGTCCTTATTCAGAAGAAAAATAGTCAGCTGGGGCACACTCATTCCACACTGCTTGGATTTGCTGCCCTTTATCGCTTCTACCATTATCCTGATAGTTCTCGCTTGCGTCTCAGTCAGGTTTAATATTTTGTATTTTCCCTGTTACTCCCTAGAGTTCTGTGTGGTTTAATGTTGGTTACATTATAAGTTCTGTTTGTGAATTTTCAAAGTTGTATCTAATAGGTTTATGAAGTTTATTAAGTGTCTAATATGTCGGTCTTTTAATTTTTAATTGTGTATAATATATCCCTAAACTTTTAATAGATTAAGGATTAGAAAATCAAAACACTTTAAAGTTTAAAGTTCAGTGGCCTGTTAGATAGATCACTAATATTTAATCTTTAATGCCATTGTCCTTGCATAACCATTTAATGATGCCTGGTAATGTATTCGTGCAGATACTGGTACTCCCTCCTTACCAGCGTAAGGGTTTTGGGCGTTTCCTTTTAGAGGTGCTGAATAATGTTGCAGTATCAGAAAATGTTTACGACTTTACAATGGAAGAGCCATTAAATCAGCTACTGCAGTTGCGAACTTGCATCGACATTAAACGCTTGCAGGGATTCGAACCCATCCAAGAAGCTGTTAATTCTGCTGTTTCTCTATTTAAACTAGGAAGACTATCAAAGAAAGTGTCCTCCCCTCGGCTTTTACCCCCATCCAATGCCATTGAAGCTGTTAGGAAAAGTTTGAAAATTACGAAGGAACAGCTTTTACACTGTTGGGAGATACTAGTCTTTTTAGGTCTCGAACCTGACAAGCACATGGAAGATTTCGTTGTTGCAGTTTGGAGTAGAATGCGAGATGATTTAATTGGCGAAAGCTCCGATGCTGAAGGGAAGCAGGTGGTTGATGTTCCTACAGATTATGATCAAGAGATGTCATTTGTGATGTTCAGATCAACAAGCAATGCGACTGGCGTCGATACTGATGAATCTCGGGCTAATCAAGAGGAACAGCTCCAGAAGCTAGTAGATGACAGAGTGAAAGAAATCAAATTGATTGCACAGAAAGTATCTGCAGATTAAATCCCAAGCATTTTGAGTCCTCTAATCCAAAATCTGTTCTGAACCTGAAGCTGTGGCTGTGGCGTATTTATTATTCGTCCCTGATTAGTTGGAAATGGAAAGATTACCAGGACTTCCCCAGGATCATCTAGGGAAGTTTCCTATAACTTGCTGAGTTCGTCTGGTACCTTAAATCCTGTCTACTTTAAAGTAAGTATCACAATTCCTTGTAACATATAAACGAGTGTATTCGTAGCTGTAGGAAAAAGGCCGCAGAAAAGTAGTCTGTATTAGGAACTTAGGCCGCAGAAAAGTAGTCTGTATTAGGAACTTAGGATATGTGCTTTTTTTTTTTTTATATTTTATTGAATTAGAATCTAAATGGATAGAGCCTTTTTGCCCCTAATTTTTATTTTCCATGTTCTATATATTATCTGGGTATCAGTTTTTCTGTTAACAATTCTAAAGAATGTCTCTTTAACTACGTTTCATTTCATAAACCAGATGTATGGCGTTTTTTTTTTTTTTTGAGAAATTTTAGTAATTGTTTAATGCTTGAGAATAGAAAATTTAGTTTTTTTTCCTCTTCTATAAAGAAATCAAGATTTTGTATCATTGATATGGCCGATCTAAACTTAGCTCTCTTCAAAAGTTGTAGATATCAAATTTCACCCTCTTATTTGAACTATAATATTTTAGAAATGTACGTCAGCTAATTGTTGTCAATTACATAGAGTAAATATTTCCTCTAGTGAATCTAAAAAAAAAAGTTTTTGAAAAATATAAATAAGATCTTCAATATTGCAATCTGAAATATGTGGGGATAGGAATTCAAAATTTTTTTTAATCTTTTAATCAGGAATATATGTATTAATTAGTTAAGTTAGGTTTATATTGATAACTAGTTAAGTTAGATTTATATTGATAATTTGAACCTAAAACAAGTTGTGTAATATAATCTCTTAGATATATTAAATATTCAAAGTAATTATGTAATTTCATATTCATCATCACTACGGCCACGAGGGCATGGGCCAAAATTAAATGCTTAATTGAGTAAATTTTAATAACAAAAAATCAATTAATTAATTTATTATTTTTTTGAGTTTATATTTTGATAGAGATATATACCTTAATCCCGCTAGGTGGGTAAAAGAAAAAAAAAATAATCGTTGAACAAACAATGTTTGGTTTCGCATTCCAATAACTAATAAGCAATTAACTTCCAAGTGGTGGATATATAGAATGATTTATGGAATCAAGAAACTTGGCATTTGCCATTACTGCAACGGTGGCGAGAGCGATTTTGTTTGACCCATTTCCGCTCCAAATAAGAAGCATCATAATTCATACATATACATAAATATAATTGGGCCGCCGAAACTTTGATTCCTCAACTCCTCTCCTTCTTCGGGCACCCAAAAACCTCCCACATGCCTGGACATCCTCTTTTCTTCACCAGCTAAACTTGCATTTTCTTCTGCTCTCCGCTCAATTTGGGACCGATGGATTTGCTTCCGGCGGAGACTTCACAGATTGCCAAGAAACATGGATTCAGGTCCCTCAAATTGGTGAACGTCGATTTGAACGCCCCCCTTTCGGAGCAGCCCTTTGGTGTCGACTATGGCAGGCTCGATAATGGCTTGTGTTATTATGTTCGCTGCAATTCGAAGCCCAGAATGAGAGCGGCTCTTGCGCTTGCTGTCAAGGCCGGGTAATTGCCTCCTCTATTCTACTTTCGATGTCGGATCGTCCTAAATTTATTAGGTTATTCCCTGCTTCTCTATTTCGCTTACAGTTGTTTTTCCAATTAAAACTTTGAAGCATTAGTTTGGTGCCAAATTGAATTTTACTTGGGGGTAATCGAATTCGAGCCACCATTGAAGCAAGAAATGAAATGCTGATCAATTTTCGATAATGAAACCGTTGCGTGTACTTGTTGTCTCTCTCTCTCTCTCTCCCTTTTCTTGATAAATTGAGTTAACATGTAGTGCGTACGGATTGCATTTAGTTATTTGATTAATCGACATATTTGTGAAAGATTAATGGGTTTTTTCGCTTAATTGATGGTTCGTAGTCTGCTTAATGAATAACTTGCTTACGTTTAAATACTCCTGTTTCCCATTATTTCGTTTACTTGAAATTTCTTTGATTGGTTTTTTAAAGAAATTTCATGGATAATGACATATGCGAAGGGCCAAAGCCTCCAAAGGCTGAGGTATCCCCATTGGCCGGTGTCTTCCGGAACTTGAATAATTTTAAAAATTTTTGGAGAGAAGTAGGAGGAGCGAACGAAAATGGCTGTCCCAAACACCTTCCTTAGGATAGTGTAAATTCTTTTAGACTCCACACCTCCCGAAAAAAGCAAAGAAACTGCAAACCCATATAATCTCTGGCCATACAGAAGACAGATGAAATTCTTTAAACCGGTGAGCAAAATACAGCGGAAGTCAAACCTAAAAGTTCCCTACAAAGTAATTTATTAAATTGGCACTCAAGGTATATGTGGAGAACCGATTCTTTCTTACTTCTGCAATGGACAAAGTATTAATGGGTTTACTCCATGATGACGAAAAAGTGGGACATAATTGAAGCTTGATAGCTGGCTAAAAACCCAGATGAATAAGAGACTGCAAAGGTCTAAATTTTGAACTAGAGATGTACTAATGACATAAACCTAAACTCTTATGCTTCAAGTACTAAATGAAATCATCTTTGTTTGGTTTAATTTTAACGCTTTTATGTTCTCATATCCATACAATCTCTTAACACTTCTCTTTGAGATCTTATCAATTCCCTTGTCATTTTTCATCTCATTTCTTATCATATAAACTGAAATATATAAATTAGCCACAGACATACTAGTGAAACAAGCTGAATTATCAGGCTTCTGACAGATCAGTTCTGGAAGAGGAGGATGAGCGTGGAGTTGCACATATAGTTGAGCATCTTGCTTTCAGCGCCACAAAGAAATATACAAATCATGACATTGTCAAATTTCTTGAAAGTATAGGAGCAGAATTTGGAGCTTGTCAAAATGCAGCCACATCTGCTGACGACACAGTATATGAGTTATTTGTACCAGTTGATAAGCCAGGACTATTATCTCAAGCCATATCAATATTGGCTGAATTCAGTTCCGAGGTACCTTGATTGATTATCCCTTCCACATTTTTATTTTCTTACTTCGAAATTTCTCTTTTCTGACTAGACTACTGCTTCTATGTAGATACGAGTTTCTCAAGATGATTTGTTAAAAGAAAGAGGAGCTGTTATGGAAGAGTACAGGGGGAACCGCAATGCTACAGGAAGGATGCAGGATGCACATTGGACTCTGATGATGGAAGGTTCAAAGGTAGAGTGTTCCTTGGCCATTCAATTTTTATTGCGTCAACTTTATGTTTATGCTCTTGCCTTGAAGGTTCCCTATCGTATGCCTTGGATGCTGTTCTTAATGATGTGCTGGTTATGTATTTTGATTGATCCATCCTGTGTTCTGTTTACCTTTTTTTTTTGTTCTGACTTATTATCTGAAATATTAGTATTTCAACTGTCACTAGTAACTTTGTTGTTATGTGTTTTATGTTGTCTCTAATGGTATTTGGTTGATGGCAGTATGCTGAGCGCTTACCAATTGGCTTGGAGAAGGTAATTAAAACTGTGTCTGCTGAGACTGTGAAGCAATTTTACAGGAAGTGGTATGATTTGCATAATATGGCAGTGGTTGCAGTTGGAGACTTTTCTGATACTCAGGTTTGTTTTATCAGTCTAAAATGTTTCTGTATTGAGATCACTAGAGAATGGTTCGATTTGAAAATATCTAACGGAGACCCCACATATTCAGAGTGTGGTTGAGCTGATAAAAGATCATTTCGGGCATATAAAATCAGCATGTGAACCTCCTTCTGTACCAATATTTTCAATTCCATCACACAACGAGCCGTGTTTCTCATGTTTTGTTGAATCTGAAGCTGCTGGGGTTAGTTCACCATTAAACCTTGATTTTATTTATGCAATATGTTATTGCTAGATTAACAAGCTGAGAAAATTATCTGAGATGATTGATTAATTCTGTTTTTCCCCCCTCCAAATAGTCGGCTGTTATGATTAGCTACAAAATGCCAGCAGATGAGCTGAAAACAGTGAGGGACTACAGAAGTTTGCTTGTAGAATCCATGTTCCTTCAGGCACTAAATCAAAGGTTTTTCAAAATATCTCGTGGCAAGGATCCTCCATATTTCTCATGCTCAGCTGCAGCAGATCCTGTTGTTCTTCCACTGAAAGCTTTTATAATGAGCTCATCCTGTAAGGAAAAAGGAACTGTAAAGGCACTGGAATCGATGCTGATTGAGGTATGGCTGTATGCTTTGACTTGAACTTTAACATCTTCCATTTTTGGTGCTATATGTTTGTTGTATATGCTTTCAATGACCCATTATGTTTCAGGTTGCAAGAGTACGACTTCATGGGTTTTCAGAACGTGAAATATCTATAGTTCGAGCTCTACTGATGTCAGAGATTGAATCAGCCTATTTGGAACGTGATCAGATGCAATCAACTAATTTGCGAGATGAATATTTGCAGGTGCCTTGCGATAAAACTTATAATGAGATTCAGTGTATTTTAATAAATATCATTACTCTTTTTATGTAACTATCTTGTTTCTTTGGGCAGCACTTTCTACGAAATGAACCTGTCGTTGGGATTGAGTATGAGGCCCAGCTCCAGAAAACTCTTCTACCTCGTTAGTTTTCTTTGTTCCTCTGTAAAAGCGAATACTGTTTAGTTTTCTGTGATTTATATTATTTACTTTAAACATCAATTTTCTCTGGCATATTACTTTTGCCCACAGATATAACAGCGTCAGAAGTATCTAAGTATTCAACCAAGTTAACGTCATTGTGCAGCTGTGTCATCAAGATAATAGAGCCTCGTGCTTCTGCAACCATTGATGATTTAAAAAATGTTGTCGTGAACATCAATTGTCTTGAGAAAGAGAGAAGTATTCCACCTTGGGATGAAGAACACATCCCTGAGGAAATTGTCATTAGCAAGCCGGGTCTAGGGTAATTTTTGTAACTCCCCTGCATTATTTATGTCTCAAGACCTTGGTTCTCCCATCCTTAATGTTTTTCCATCTTATTTTAGAAGTTTTTTTCCCTTCTTTTTTAGTGTGTTCTCACGTGGGACTTCTTTTAGAATAAATAAAATGGTTAATCTTTCCAAAATTATGAGTTTATGAATAGTGATTTCAATGTATTTAATAACATTTAATTAACAAGTTATTCAATGCTAGTTCATAAAAAGAAGTTTGGAAAGAAAATCAGAATACTATTTTAGATATAGTTAGTAAATGAAATAACATATTGAAACCAATTCAATAACATATAAACAGTATCAGATTTC